ATCAAATGAACCCTAATTTTGTTAATCAAAAAATTAGGCTATTTTTGTCCCAATCTTCTGAAGGAAAGTACAAACTATAAATGGAACTATTTTGTGAATTTGTGACGAAAAGAGAGAACTGGTGGTAAAAAGGTTAACATAGAGCAATGCTACATTTGTGTACTATATTTTTGCAGGTTTCAGTGACTGCCAGGAAGCATACAGTCCGTATCCCGGTGCACATCTCTCATTGAGATACATATCAGAGGTTGGTAAGATGATAATTGGTGACCACAAAGCCGATCCCGGTGAAATCAAAGAAGCCGACAAAATAGCTGATGAACAAGCTGCTGTAAGTTACCTGTTAGTTTGGTATTGATGTTATAGCGCCCTCTTGTAGTGATATAGCAGCTTCTTTTGTTATTACAGCATACTCTAGTTGTGTTATAGCATCCACTAGCTAGCTTGTCTACTTATAATAAATTTCCAACAATGAATTAAAATTAGGTATCAAACTGATGTGCATCAGTAATCCATCATATGTATATACTGTAAAATACTTTATTTTCGCTTGGAATTAATTTTCACTATTTTTGCTGAAGGGATAATTCATTGAAAATAAAATCTGGCGAATATAACTTTTTTTCTATTTTTCACATTCAACTCATCAAAAATCAGTGAAAATAAATTCCAAACAAAACACCCAAAAAACCTTTTCAGCGAAAATTAATTCCAGCTAAATTAAAGTATTTTACAGTAGTGTCTTCGTCTAAAATTGAAAGTTTATCTGTGAAAATGTTAGCACACACACACTAAAAATGGCCGACTGTCAGTCATTTTGAATTAAATTGTGGAACAAAATGACATACATGTTCATATAAAGTTTTATGGGTTGCAGATGCATTCCATTTTGTTTCGCAATTTTATTCTAAATTCGGATTTTATTTCCAAGTGCTTTTACCCATTTGACATGATTTTGATTAAATTTGGTACAAAAGTATAACTTAATGTGTTTTGTATGCATGACAATTTGTTTTTTTGTTTCAATGATATTCTTGACATCCTCAAATGTCAATCCATTCAAACACAAACAGGGACTACCTATGTCATTAACAATGACTTACACAAAAGTGACATACAGTTAAAGTAGCAATAAGGGTAAATCAAGTTAAAAAATGATGTGTGAATATGACTTTCCTGAAAAGTTACTAAACATGCTAGGATGCTAACCTAAAAATTATCTGAAAAGCAGTACCTGACAGCCTATTCTGCTATTGTGTGTTTTGTAATTCTAACGTTAAAAGTTTCCCCTCACCTGCGACTCTAATCCTAACCCTGCCCCTCTAGTATTCCTCCTCCATTTCAATTGTATATACCCGAGTTTTGGTCACTTATAATTATTTGGAGGGGCATATTGAATTACATTGGAGGGGGGCTGGAGTGTTAGGGATCAAGTTAGGGGGGAGGGGACCTTAGGAAACTCTTATTGTTTTTTAAAGATGCAATTTGGATAGAAACATATTTGTTTTTAATATTGTTGTTTAATACTGCATACTGTAGACGAAATCGAACTATAATTTATCATAAACTAAGACACACAACAGTGTTCGTTAAATGAAAAATCAAAACCACTACTATGCATGTGCAGTTACTGTTATTGTATGTACATGAGTATTAGAAACTTTCATTGCTTCATTGAATGAGTACTCAGATAGGTGCCACAAGAACAATAATTATCAATATACAGTACCAATCAACAAACAGTATTAAATTACATTTTCTCATCCATATTGCTTCTATAGCATGAATTCTCATTTTCTTTTTAGCTTTTAGGGAAGAGGAGTTTGATTTCCATAAGAGAGAGACCGGTTTCGAGAGCAGTATTCATGATCTAAGTCCTACATTGTGGCACGCACTGGGATGTATGGAGGTGTACTGTACATCTCAGTACGGGCGTTAAAGAAGCAGTTCATGCGCTGTCGTTATGCGGCACTGGTCTCTCATCAGAAAACTGGTAAGTCAACCTGTGCCTTTTGAAAATGACTTGGAATCAGAACCTGTAGACAGTGGAAAATAATTTAAAATTTTTACAAAATTAAGAACAAAACTATAGAGAAATACATCAAAATGTGTGCACTTTTGTTAGGAGAAGACTAATTTTTTAGAAAAACCAGTTAAGAAAAAGTTGTTTATTGGTTTATTGTATTTTTGTTATGAACTGAGAGTATCAATTTAATTTGGTATATAAAAGTATATGCATCGTCCTCTGCTATGTATCATTGTATACTTTCGCCGTACTGTCTTCATATGTACTTTGTTCTTGTAATACCATCATACTCATACCATAAAATATGCGAAATCGTCCGGTGCCCCCATTAACTTTTTATTTTTTCAACTTCTTCTTGAAAACTACAAGTCTGATTGCATTGATATAAGTGTATATGTACATGTACCTTAGGCAGACCTCTATTATATATATTCATTTTGTGATGATATCTTTAATTCTCTAATAAAAATAGTAAACATTCATATTTCTGGCTTTGATATGATGCATATAGGTACTACAGGTGGACCTCTCTCAGATTTGTTCATTCTGTGATGATATCTTCAATTCTCTAATTGAAATGTGCAATATTTACAGTGGAGCTATATCAGCCGATAGGCTGCTTCTTTCATCCTTTGTATGAAATGTTGAGTTTACCATGGTACAATTTTTTTTCAGCTGTCATTCTCATCTGTTTTTTTTTCTCCATCAGG